ATATGTATGGGTACAAACAACGCCTGTTGCAGTTGGAACCCCGTAGACACCAAAACACGTCCGTAAACACGGCCGGCTGAAGGAATTATGAAGTGGGAAGCATGGCTTGGTGTCTTATCACGTGCGTGAATACTGCCGTCTGATTGGTGGGTTTCCCAGGGGTTCCCCATGGGGGGAAAAATTCTTTATTTACGTATGTAAAGAGCCAAGTAAGGTTGGAATATGCATTATAATGACTGTGTAACGTATTTTGAAATAGAAAGTCGTTTGAAAGTTCTAATGCAGATTTTTAATTTTGATGGATTTGGGGGCCAAAAAAGGCCAAAACCATACCCAGTCCTTTTCGCTGTCTTTATTTTCATTTTTTTTTCATACTTGGAAAAAACCCACAAGGTTTATGGTTTAAGAAATCAACAATACAGCATAGCATGTATTTTACATGGTTCTTTAAAAGGATCATGTGAAAATATTTCATTTTTGAGAGTAATTCCTTTGATTATTTAAACAATGGGGGGGAGGGGGGCTTTACTGTATGTAATGTATCATGTTCAATACAAAAAGTTACTTTTGTAAAAATATTTCTGAAAATATTTCATGTAGACTCCTATCTTTATCCTGAAATCAACTGAAATGAATTTGTGCATTGATATAAAAATTCCTCATGCCAAATCTTAAGCTGATTTTATTATGCGAGTTCAAGGAAAAAACTTGTAAAATTGATTAACAGTCCTTATTTTATGAGAATGAACTATTGATAATAAATTGATCAAGGTGTTTTTTTTAACATAGATCTTCACTAGTCTACACAGTTATAGTAGAGGTAGATGGACTAATGAATCTGAACTCCGAGTGAATCTGGTACATGTTTGTATATTTTTACAGGCCAAAAGCCAGTTTAAGAGACGGTCCACTGCTAACAACGTGGAAATCGTTATACCAGTACCAAAGGATGCAGACAGTCCAAAGTTCAAAACCACCGTTGGAAACTGCAAATATGCCCCCGATTTAAATGCAGTGATCTGGACCATCAAGTCTTTTCCAGTAAGTATTGTAATGGTTTACTTTCCTCTGTGCATCAATCATGGGTTTTGTTTGCATATTTATCACCTACCTGAGTTTTGTTTGTCCATGTTCTGTCTTGACCACCTTCCATCGTTCCTTCCATCCAAAACTTTATCCGCAGCATGTCTTTTAAACAATTTCACATGAAGTTACCAAACTAGATTACAGGTATATCGTGTTATTACCTGATGATACGACATTGGACACAAACAATAGCTTCCTTGATTTTAACGTTGGTAATTAACTGACGGGGGACTACAGATTGAAATACAATGCTTTATTTTGTTACAAATACATTATTACATCGTTAAGCACTTTTAATAGGCCTGTTCCGGTAACTAGAAATACTCAGAACATCTACGAATTCTATTTCAAATTCTGTGAAAACCTCCACTACACTATCAGGTTACTAAATTCATGGATAATTCAAATTTGTCCCAAAAGATTTAATTTGTAAATCTGGATATCTATCTTAACTTGTTATTTATTCGGTGATACAGGAAGAAATCACTTTAAAACATAGTATCATTTAATTCCATACATTTGTACTGTCAATCAAGTATAATTGAGTTTTTGGGTGTATCACTTTGTATCCAGGGAGGAAAAGAGTACCTGATGCGAGCACACTTTGGACTGCCAAGTGTACAGGCAGAGGAGACTGAGGGAAAACCACCCATCCACGTCAAATTTGAGATTCCATACTTCACTGTGTCAGGCATTCAGGTGGGTAGCTGTACTGTGGTCAAGATTTATGAACGCTGTAGAGAGTGGTCAATGCACTCAATTTCAATTTTAAATTTCTGTCACATGAACATTAAACTGTCAACTGTCAATTTAAGTTTTAGACGTAATCATTGAGATTGGTGGTATGTCTGAAGATTTTGTTGTGTTGACTATACGTTTAAGTATTAGACATATACATTGAGATTGGTGGTATGTCTGAAGATTTTGTTGTGTTGACAGCTTCCTCTGTCTCATCAACAGTTTAAATCATATACTGCTATCTGAGAGTTAAAAATGCTAAGCAACAAAATGAGAGTCCATCTTACCAGCTGCTAGTTCTATAGGAAACAAAAACTAACGTTTCGAGATGTAGATATTGACAAGGGAAGTAACTCTTTGCCAGAAAAACTCCTTTTGATTTCATATATCAAAGAGAGTAACTTCAAGTAAACTCTTACTTGTGATTATAACTGGTGCAGTGGTATTTGTAGTAACATACTTTATATCTTATTTCACAGGTTAGGTATTTGAAGATTATTGAGAAGAGCGGCTACCAGGCACTGCCCTGGGTACGGTACATCACCCAGAACGGGGACTATCAACTAAGGACTCAGTGATTATGATGTTAGATGCCTGGGGAAAACATGCCAGGAAGCTATAACTTATCATAGCACACCAAGTGCTTCTTCTACTGCAACATGGTTGTCTGAGTTACTGTTTCTTCATCATTGCCATGGCATGCTGTTCCATGGTATATATATTTATACAGGTCTTACTTAGAACATCACGATGATGGGTTCTTATTACATGTACCACAATTTGTATAGAATCACTTCTGGACGATTAAAGTCTATCTATCGGTTAAACTTAAATTTTAGAATGATATGTTTACAGCATAACATTGTACGTCATCTAAAAGTTTGGAAAGTCGAGAGCTGACCAAAAATCTGTGAAAATCAGATTTCTTTGGAGATTTTATTTTATTGTTAATATTTTTGAGTATCGATAATATAATATCACTGTCATGTTTTGATAACCATTTTTCAGGATCATCAGATGGATTTCTTTGTATGTAATTTGTCATATATGAAGTGTTCTTCTAAGTCATTCCAGTTGCATGTAGGGAAAATATCTGTGATTCCATCGGAAATATCTTTGTTGCCTCATTGATAGGGTTAATCTGTGATGATGGCCTTGCAAACACTGCAAATACTCTTACCAGTAGGTTTGTACTTAAAGGTCCTTAAATTAGTCAAAAGTCTGGAATAAGCTTCATCCCTAAAAAAAGACCTTAAAAGTACTAAAATATAATAGAAATCCTTTTCGGTGATCACTTCGGTGATTTTGTGTGGGAAATATTGTTGGGGGATGGGTAAGATGAATAAAACATTGACGGCAATATATGGCTATATAAGGTGATCTACAAATGTATGATAAAATTGGAAGTGTGGGAATTAAAGTAGAAAATATAAAATAACCTTTAAGATATTTATTACAGCCTAAAAAATTCCCCCAAAAATTATGTTTGAATGATCTCTTTTGACCTTTTCCGTTAGAAATAAGAAAAACACCAAGTATGGAGTAATAACATGTAGTGTTAAAGACCACAGTCATGGCAATATAATTTACATTGCCAATCTACGCGAAAAATGCTTGAGATTATATGTCACGTCCTGCGAGTCCCTATTAAATATCCAAAGTTTATATTGATGTGGCAATGTCCTGTACAGGTAAATACCCATACTATTTATTCATGTTGTTTGAACTTGGAAGAAAATATTAGCTCAAACAGGTTGAATTTGATTATGAATGTATTGATAACCAGTGAATAGAGAGTTCATTATTTGTCCAGCGGTTTTTAAATTGCCCGTTAGCCTCATCTCTATGTCATTCTTAGCTTAGTATTTTAATACACAGGAATATATGTCGTCTACAGTTAAATATGGGAAAAGCTTTCTGATAATGTTATAACCTGCAGAGATGCAGAAAATGTTCTGTTCATAAAATGGCAAATTATTCCGTTTGGTATTGCCAGTGAAATATATCAGTTTAAATATACCAATACATTTTATTTATCCTCTTGCTAAGCAGATTAAAAAATAGGTACAATTGCTTAGGGAAAAAAGACAAAAGAATTGCTTTGTTTGTCTATTTATAGACAAAAAAATCTGTAAAAACTTTTTAAACTATAGACACTGTACATTGTGGTCTGCAAGACTGAGATCTGATCAATATATAATTGAAGCAATTATAAATACCTACATTCTGATGTACTGTCATCTTGTCTAATATTAGAATGTGTTGCTATGGAACTGTCATCATTTAGAATGTTGTTGCTATGGCGTTGGATTATTATGTATATTTGGTTTGCTTAATTGTGGTATGCACATGGTGCATTCAATCCAATGTTGATTGCAGTCATGGTGTAAACAAATAAATAAATCACTTTACCTGATTTGTATTGTGTTGTCTATCAATTTTTTCATCTTGACATCAGCTGTTGAATGTACAATTTTGTTTGTTGGGGTTAAAGGTCCTCTCAACACCTAAGAACATATGATGACAGTGTTCATGGCTGATGGAGTCAGTCATGTGCCACTGTAAAGTGTAATCTCACTATAAGTTACTCACGGGCCACTGTAAAGTGTAATCTCACTATAAGTCACTCACAGGCCACTGTAAAGTGTAATCTCACTATAAGTCAGTCACGGGCCACTGTAAAGTGTAATCTCACTATAAGTCAGTCAGGGGCCACTGTAAAGTGTAATCTCACTATAAGTCAGTCACGGGCCGCTGTAAAGTGTAATCTCACTATAAGTCAGTCACAGGCCACTGTAAAGTGTAATCTCACCATAAGTCAGTCAAAGGCCACTGTAAAGTGTAATCTCACTATAAGTCAGTCAAAGGCCACTGTAAAGTGTAATCTCACTATAAGTCATTCAGGGGCCACTGTAAAGTGTAGTCTCACTATAAGTCAGTCAGGGGCCACTGTAAAGTGTAATCTCACTATAAGTCAGTCACGGGCCACTGTAAAGTTTAGTCTCACTATAAGTCAGTCACGGGCCACTGTAAAATGTAATCTCGCTATAAGTCAGTCACGGGCCACTGTAAAGTGTAATCTCACTATAAGTCAGTCAAAGGCCACTGTAAAGTGTAATCTCACTATAAGTCACTCATGGGTCACTGTAAAGTGTAATCTCACTTTAAGTCAGTCAGGGGCCACTGTAAAGTGTAGTCTCACTATAAGTCAGTCACGGGCCACTGTAAAGTGTAGTCTCACTTTAAGTCAGTCATGGGCCACTGTAAAGTGTAGTCTCACTATAAGTCGCTCACGGGCCACTGTAAAGTGTAATCTCACTATAAGTCAGTCACAGGCCACTGTAAAGTGTAATCTCACTATAAGTCACTCATGGGCCACTGTAAAGTGTAATCTCACTATAAGTCACTCACAGGCCACTGTAAAGTGTAATCTCACTATAAGTCAGTCACGGGCCACTGTAAAGTGTAATCTCACTATAAGTCCCTCAGGGGCCACTGTAAAGTGTAATCTCACTATAAGTCAGTCCCAGGCCACTGTAAAGTGTAATCTCACTATAAGTCAGTCACGGGCCACTGTAAAGTGTAGTCTCACTATAAGTCACTCACAGGCCACTGTAAAGTGTAATCTCACTGCAAGTCACTCACAGGCCACTGTGAAGTGTAATCTTACTGAAATGTCATAACTTAAGAGGTGATAGCATGATACTCCACCAGGTCACAGTATACTGACTACAAGAGGCCTATGGGCCTTAACCGTCACCTGATTTATGTAAAAACTGATGTTATCAATGTTGCCAAATGAAAGAGAAATCATTTTGTAACAAAGGTAACTTGAACTACATGTAATGCAAAAGTAGTGTGAAATATCTGGGTATTATATGTACTATGTACAAACGGTGGTTCTGTCAGTCAGCTGAATTGGTAAAGCACCTTAAGACTCTTCCATCTATGAAGAGTATTTGATTCTACCATATCTGGGTCTTGAGAAGAAGATTTTTGAATTTTTTGTCAATTTGACCCTTTTTGGCTCAGGCCCCTGGGGATCAGTCAGGGCTGATTTGTGCATACCATCAAACTGCTAACCAAGTTTGAATTAATTCCAATGGAAATTAAACAAATGCTGGTCCAAAATGTGATTTCCCTATATACACTTTAGTAAAGTTTATCCCCTCATCAGGGGGAAATGTGAGAACCCAGGGTCATGAAATTAATAATTTTGGTAAAGCACCTTAAGACCCTTCTATCTATGAAGAGTATTTGATTCTGCCCTATCTGGGTATTGAGAAGAAGATATTTGAAATTTTAGTCAATTTGACCCTTTTTGGCCCCGCCCCTCAGGCCCCTGGGGGTCAGTCAGGGCTGATTTGTGCATACCATCAAACTGCTATCCAATACTGATAATGCTAATCAAGTTTGAATTAATTCCTATAATAAAGATTACCCCCTCCCCAGGGGGAAACGTGAGACCCCATGGTTATGAAATTCACTATTTTGGTAAAGCACCTTAAGACCATTTGATTTATGAAGAGTATTTGATTCTACCCTATCTGGATGGTTTTTGAAATTTTAGTCAATTCAACCCTTTTTGGCCCCACCCCTCAGGTCCCTGGGGGGTGGGGGGGGGGGTGTAATATGTTCTCTCTTGTCCCTCTTCTGTCGGTGATACAAACAGGGGTCAGCGGCTTGCAAAATGCTCTCTGTGGTAACTACAGACGCGACAAGTATGGGATAAGAGTTCCCTCCTATTTTTTTATTGGTGGATTTTCTATCCCTAGTAGAGGGCACGAGCAAATCCCTAATTCTGCAGGGGTTTCCACATAAGTCGCCTATTATAATAGCATGCCCAGACTGGGCGACATATCAAAGTCTCTAAAAATAGTAATTGTTATCCTGCTCAACGCTTAGCATTTAGGATAATGGCAACAACTGGTTCACCCATTGTCAGTATAATGTCACCGGGCGGAATGTTGCGCTGGGTGCCTTCAGCATGGTATTTCAGTGAGATAGCACTATAAAGTTGGCATCAGATCTGCGGTATCACAAGGAGGCAAATAGACCAACATACCTTACCTCCGGCACACATGCATGCATACACAACACATGGAGGCAGGTCCTTAAATGACCGTAGCTGTTTATAGGACGTTAAACCCTATACGACCCAACAAATCCTCCAGAGGTTCCTTCTCATACTGTCTCTGAACCTATCCCAACATTTGATTCCTTCACAGGTTCCCTCTAGTCCATTGAGAGGTGCCTTCCCGTGCTGTGTCTGAACCTATCCCAACAGACGACACCACCATTTGATTCCTTCACAGTTTCCCTCTAGTTCCTCGAGAGGTTCCTTCCCGTGCTGTATCAGAGCCTATCCCTACAGACGACACCAGCATGTGGTTCCTTCACGGTTTCCCTCTAGTCCCTTGAGAGGTGCCTTCCCGGGCTGTGTCTGAACCTATCCCAACAGACGACCCCACCATTTGATTCCTTCACAGGTTCCCTCTAGTCCATTGAGAGGTGCCTGCCCGTGCTGTGTCTGAACCTATCCCAACAGACGACACCAACATGTGTTTCCTTCACGGGTTCCCTGTCGTCCCTCGAGAGGTTCCCTCCCGGGCTGTCTCTGAACATATACCTACAGACGACACCAACTTGTGGTTCCTTCACGGGCTCCCTCTAGTCCCTTGAGAGGTTCCCTCCCGTGCTGGCTCTGAACATATAACTACAGACGACACCAACATGCGGTTCCTTCACGGATTCCCTCTAGTTCCTTTAAAGGTTCCTTCCCGTGCTGTATCAGACCCTACCCCCTACAGACGACACCAACAGGTGGTTCCTTCACGGGTTCCCTCTAGTCCCTCGACAGGTTCCCTCCCGTGCTGCCTCAGAACCTATCCCCTCCAGACGACACCAACATGCGGTTCCTTCACGGATTCCCTCTAGTTCCTTTAAAGGTTCCTTGCCGTGCTGTCTCAGAACCTATCACTACAGACGACACCAACATGCGGTTCCTTCACGGATTCCCTCTCGTTCCTTTAAAGGTTCCTTCCCGTGCTGTATCAGAACCTATCCCCTACAGACGACACTAACATGTGGTTCCTTCACGGGTTCCCTCTAGTCCCTTGAGAGGTTCCCTCCCGTGCTGTCTCAGAACCTATCCCTACAGACGACACCAACATGCGGTTCCTTCACGGATTCCCTCTAGTTCCTTTAAAGGTTCCTTCCCGTGCTGTCTCAGAACCTATCCCTACAGACGACACCAACATGTGGTTCCTTCACGGATTCCCTCTAGTCCCTTTAAAGGTTCCTTCCCGTGCTGTCTCTGAACATATAACTACAGACACACCAACATGTGGTTCCTTCACAGTTTCCCTCTAGTTCCTCCAGAGGTTCCTTCCTGTGCTGTCTCTGAACCTATCCCAACAGACGACACCAACACGTCCGATAGACTCAATATGTTCCTTTCCCTTAGTTCCTTAGTAACAGACGAGCCCAACAGGGGGCCAAAAGCTCATACATATGACCATTATTTTCCCCGCAGAAGACATTAATTTTTGCTCAGTCTGGTCCCTTTCGTTAGTTCAACGCGAGTCAGAGGTTCATCAAAATGCCTCTTCCGATCCCCCGGTCTTCCCTGATTAGCTGGTCATTGTGCAAAGGAGGTGTATTCCTGACAGGGTTGGGTTTAATTGTAACCTTTTAATACACGTTATATCTGACATCTGTATTAATTATCACAATATTTGTGCTCCTTGGAAGAAAAAAGTCATAATAGCGTTTAAAGACGAACTTTGTATTCGCACAACAAATGTACAGAACAGGTAAGACAAAAATCAAGCTCAACAAAAATTAAACCTGGCTAAACTAGAATGGAAATGGTCAAAATTAAAAAGAGATATGTTTTTTTTCTATCACATTGTTGACCGATGCTAGCGCGCAGGGGGAATTGGCACGTAGTCGGACAGATGTTTCGTACCTTTTCACGTCCGGTCGGCAGAGTGTGTAAACGATGACAATGTGTGCAAAATTTATAAAGTTTTAAAAAAAAGTTAGTAGCAGTTACTATCCTAGCTGTCGCAAATGAAGCATTAGTATATTAAGATAAGATTAATGTTAAGATACCATTCGAATCCGCCCAACAAAACTCAATTTACATAGCATAGATCCATCATCCAATCAGGGGCTAATGCGGCCAACTTAAAACCTGAAAGAAAGTCAGCAGAATTATACAGTCTATTCTCTACTATATATTATTTCCACAAAGTATCTACAAAGTCGGTTGAAAGGAATATCATTATCTCAACTAGGCAGAGAAATTTGAAAGGCAGCGTAACAAAACATATCCCCAAAATATCATTTCCAAAATAATTGCAAAGTCGGCCAAAAGGAACTTGAATTATAAACCGTAACTGTCTCTAACAAAACAGTGTAGAAAAATGTTGCAAAATCTATTTTTAGGGTATAAGGACTATTTCTAACGAACTATCTCTAACGACCTGAATGAAATAAAGAGCATGTGAAAGAAAACTTTTATGAAGCATGGGCAATATTAAAATATTACTTTAGATATCATAGAAAATGGCAAGTAATATTGAGACGCATCAACAGGAAGTGCTCATACTTTTGAAGTGTTAAAATCGAAAACGTCCTGTTTTATTACATAACATACTATCTGTATAACACATTAGAACAAATCTGTCATAAAATGAACAACATATTTATTTATTTTGATACTTTAACGTGGAGTTTTGAAATAAATAATGTCTCAATTTGATGCAACCAATCAAAGTATTGTACCACAAATACGTCAATAAAAATAGACAACTCAGGTTTCCATTCCAAATTTGATTTTCAATGCTACGAGTCTAAACATTTTCATTTAGTAAGGGGGACCTTGACGAACAGAATACCTTAAAATCGTTAGAATAATAGCTTTCTTTTACTCGATATTTCAGCTCTCCAAGATATGTATTACTAAGATAAATGCACTGTATTATTTTGTTATTGTGGTTGCTTCAGTCTTTCCTTTTGCACATGCTCTATTACTTCTCAACTATGAATTAGTATTTATTACTTATTTTGTGCATTAGGCAAAACATGTGTGTTACCGGTATCCCGACCTACCCTAGATTCTCCTAGATATTAGCCAGGTTCAGTCACTCATTAAAATCATAAAATGTGGGCCTACTTTCTTCCTGTTCTGAGAATCTGACCTTATTCTTGACAAATTGATAGCCGTTGCAATGTGTGAAAATGGCTTTGTAAAATTTGAAATAAATCATAATATTGATCCATGAAATTGAAAAATAAAAATAAAAATGAAATGATTTGCCTACCGACGTACCTTATTTATTGGACATGTTATCTGAAACACACATATTATATTTAACAGTCATAGTATTGTTGAACATCTCTGGTAAACACAAATAACTATCGTATTATTCATATTCTTTGTAAAACTTACCTCCTCGGAAATTAATTTAGATTGTACGTAACGATGTACAATTAATATAACGTTCAACGCCTTGTTAGCTTGGGTTGTCATTATTTCCGTTTCATTTTAGATTTTATTTTCCTAAGATCATTCAATAAATTTACAAAAAAGATATATGTTTTCATTAAGAACCTTAAACATGATATTGTTTATTGACAACGTAAACCCTTCTTTTTATCGTAAAAATTGAAGTTGAATTTTGATTTTGATTTTGCTTCCGAATAAGCTTAGCATGCTTTTGATGTAACTAGGGTTGTGTTACCATACCAAGAGCTGCATCAGCTTAACGATTTAAAAAGTAAACAATTGAATCGGTGGTATTTTCATAATCATTAAAACTGAAATGAAAGTATACATGACATTGAATTCAATTTTTTCTCTTTCGTGTAATATAAACAAAAACAATCGTCTTTTCTGCACATATAATCATGAAAATGAAATTGAAACTTATGCTTTTTTTTAATTGCCTTTTTTTTTCATTGAAAAATATTAGACATTTCCAGAAATAACTAAAACAAGGAAGAACTATGTGATAAATAAGAAAATTGTCAAAGTTTATTAGCCCAGCATGTTGTTTCACGTGGCTGACAGTCTTGATTGACAGCGATTGGAAATCAGTCAAGGTCGCTCCGAGCATGTGCATTTGCCCGTGATTTGCGCCCGTCGTTTTCACCGGTAACTAAACAAAGGGCTAGACACATGGACGTATCTACAAGTCCTTTATCGTATCCAAGATGATGAAGCCAAATGATCAGATTTTTAATTCAATTCATCGCGCAGACGACCGGATATTGAAATCAATTGATTGTAACACTATTCAAGACGAACGTGTCAAGAAAAGGAATACGGAGACCGGGGCGAAAGGCAGATTTCACAGGTAGATTGTGTACCTTTGGCTTTGATCGGAAAAGTAATGTCTTGAATCATAATGTCCATAAGATATTATTTGTAAAGTTGACAATCATAAACGTTTGAAATGCCGATAATATGCAGAATTTCACAAAAGTTGCAAACCATATAGAACGTTGGATGAAGATGGTTTTCGAGAGAGAAAAAATGATCGGTGATATGATTGACTGCCATATCATAAAAAAATGTTCTTGTCATAAAACCGAATTTATTTGTGTGATTAAGAAATGATTTATAAAAAACCTGGCCAAACAATATGAAAATATACCTCGACTTTTGAGCACAAAACCACAATTGGATATAAAATTAATGGCACGAGAAAATATTTGTTTGATGGATGTTAGCTTAATCTGTTAATTGCGGGCTCAAGTTAATTCTACCAATGCAGTAAGCACTGACACCAAGGAAATCCATATTATTTATCCCAATCAACTAATGGTACAAAATACTTCTTAAATGTTCGTGTCTTAGCTGATCGGTATCTTGAGATTGGAAGTTTAACAAGGCGCTACAATTAAGTGACTGTGACCTTCACTTTTAGGTCAATTGTGAAGAAAATGTATAACTGACATTTGGATCTTGTTGTAAATTGAAAAGCATTGAAGACATATTGGTGAAACTTGAACTATACATCTGTACATGTATCACCAATTTAGTTAGTTCACTGTATTTAGGTCATCATGATAATCAGACTGGGTTGTCTAAATTCTAAAACATTATTGAATAAGGCCAAATCCAGAGAGTATCTTTTTAAGTTTGTAAAGTTTGAAGAATATTTAATTAGGTTATGAATACTTAATTCTGATTGGCAGTCCCATTCAAGACAATATTTTCCATAATGACTGATCAGGCCAGGTAAGAAAATGAACAGAATGACTATCTTTAATTAGCATACAAGAACTTCCTAAATCCTGATTGGTTGTTTATTTTGGTAAAATTCCTTTCTAATCTATTTATGAATTTTCACCAAACTTTATGTGAATATGTATGATGTCATTGCTCCAGGCCTTTTTGAAGATGACTGGAATCCGGAATATTTGACAGGGTATCGGGTACTCCTGTAATTCTAGGTATTCTAGTCTGCCTTTAGTGATTTTCAATGGATGAACTTCATACAACTTAAAAGGAAAGTTGATTTTCTCAAAATATTGGAGGAGATTGATTTACACTATTATCCAACAGTAATTTGCAGAGTTATGGCCCTTTAGTCAATTGCTGAAACAGTATCAGTTCCATATCTAGAGTTCTTTTCAATGGATTTACTTCAACCTTCATAGAAAGGTAGGTTACCAAAGCTCAGACAAGTTCGATAACCACCATATCGGACCAAATTTCATGGAATTACAGCCCATTAGTCACTTGCAGAAACAGTGTCCTCTCAATATTTTGATTTTTTTTCAATTGACAATTGATTAACTTCAAAATTCATAGAAGTGTGATAAGCACCATTATCAGAGCATAATTTACAGAGTTATGGCCCTTTAATCAATTTACAAAACATTGTTCACTCAATTCTGGAGTTATTTTCAAAGGATAAATTTCAAACTTCATACCAAGGTTAATTAACTTTTATGGCACTTGATTTAACAGTGTCCTCTTTCATACATTTATCTGCAGTTAGTTTCTCGGGATTAATTTCAAACTTCATAAGCTTGGACAACCACTATCATCTTATCATAATTAGTGGAGTTAGGCCCCTTTCAATCACTGGAGTGTTATCACAATTATCTGACCATACTTAATAGAGTTATTCCCCTTGGTTTCATGCAATACTACATGCATTCCATGATGTTTTATATTGCACTCATTGATCTACGTTATGTTGAATTATTCATCAGTTACTTACTTTGTAGGTCACGGGTGAAACGTGTTTGCCAACAGCATTGAAAAACAGGTGAACTTATTGTTTCAAAATATCGGAAAGTTATTTGGTGTGTGTTGTTTTTAGCTCTCCTGAAGAAGATGAAAAAGAAAATCATTTTGAACCAATTTCAAAACACTGCAGAACAAATGGGGATGTGTTGCAGAAAACAAAATCAAGTGACATGCATGTTGACAGGCCATTAACGTCGATGAGCACTTGTGAAAAAATGACGACAGCGACAACGTTACCGATGACAAATAATATGCATGTCAACAGGAGAAAAAACAAGCATCCAACCAGAAGTGCAGCCAGGCAGGATCCTAACTTCCGGGGCGTGACGTTCCTTTTGCACACACAGTTACAGGGCTGCGACAGCCACCTTGTCATATCGGCTTATTTTAGGTAAGTATTGCACTTTATTATTAGTGATACATCCACCAATTATTGATAGCTGTGTTTGAGAAGAATTAGTAAAACTTGGTTTCTGTTTACATGTCCAATATATACAGTACTTTATGTAACAAGGGGCTTGGCAGGATACAATGATAAGTGGGCCATCTCTAATGGGATACTTTCTCTTGCTGTTAACACTGTCTCTTATAACCTTAGTGTTTCTGAGGATGCAAAACTCTAAACAAGTCGTTTTAAATCTTTCTATCCTCACTAGTGCAGATTGATAACACATATACTACAAACAATTTTGTATTACAGTAACATGAATATGAAACCAGTGGGTTCCCATGGCCAGGTGCGGAATCGTCACAGCAGCTGTGGCTCTGCGACTAGTTATCACACCGACTGCTGGAGTGGATCGGAGGAGGACAGCCAGCTAGCCTACCATCGGAATGCCTACGTCGCAGGTAGATACTTGATCTTGGGACCTTGATGTTTTTAGAGTTTCTGTGTATGACAAACTTTCTGTATAGCAGCCTTACGCCTTGATATTACTTTGATCACGATGGCTTTGACCTTAATACCTCTTCAAAAGTAACTATCTTAACCTTGACAAATCTTGGATAGTTAAAAATTTGACCTTCATAATTCGTTGGGTGTCAACATCTTGACCCGATACCTCTTGGAAAGTTACAATTTGACTTTTATACCTATTGGGAAATGAGGACCCTGACACCGTTGGGTGAAGACAACCTTGACCTTTATACCCCCACCAAAAAAAAAATCATGAGGGTCGACCACAAGACCTTTCCATTGAATTTTTGCACTTTAATGAAGTTGTTATCTACAGGAATGGCAGTAACTCTTGGCCTAAAAGAAGTCCTCTTTGTTGAATCATCGTCTATATAAAAGGTAGAATACTCCAAGTTGGAAGAAAGTTTTGAAGTAGAACTTTTCTTCACAATTATAACGGGTGCATTGGTACACTTAACATTAAGTTGTTGCACCCTCCTGTAAGGCATGCAACTTAATCTTAATACAGATGACATTCTGTTAATATTGGAGAAAGTGTTTAAGTATAAATGTACTATAATGTGTTTGAAATTTGGAGTCTTGTAGATTATAAAACTTATTGAAAGCTTGTTTACTTTTTAAATTTAACACTCTTAAAGATAAAGGCAAGAAGGAAAAGTATGAAAAAATATTCTGTTGTCCTGAAGAAGTCTGTTAATACCTTGTTTCAGCAAAGACATGTGCATCCTGTGCGACTCGAAGAACACCTCTGTGGAGAGATGCTGAGGATGGTACACCATTGTGTAACGCATGTGGCATCAGGTACGTATTTGGGTCTTGTTGCTGGAGGACAATTCTGTCTATTTGTAACGCAGATTTATGATGATGTGTTTTGATTATGTTCATTTAGATTATGATTCGGTTAATTAGAAGCCATCTGTCTGTGGGATTCATTCAGGACCAATCAGTCAAGTCATTTGTTAACCAAAAGATACAGAATCCAAACAAATTGGATCAATGTCCTAGTTCAAAATGTTTGTTAGCCCTTGGTGGAAAGATTCATTGTGGAATTCAGTAGTTCAGTACAAAAAGTGATCAAAATTCAAAGTCAAAATTGCTGGACAAATTCTGCATCAAGGTTGTTGAGTCGTCTAGAATTCAAATCAAGAAGATAAACATCAGCATGAAGATGTGCATGATTTAAAATACATTTATTCTTCAGACATTTTATCAGTTCTGACAACAATATTAAACAACATCTTTTTCTTGACTTGTTGAAATTATTTATAAAACTGATTGAACTCTTATTCAAATCAAGACTGATGTGACCTTGATTAATATATATATATACTAACATTTTGCTAAGGATCACTTTTATTTTTGAGCATATATGAAAATAAATATTTTATTTGGTTTATACCGAGTATTATTTTTGAAAAATTGATTTTTCTTTTAATGCATCAGCATGCAAAAATTCCAAAAATCGTAATTACAGTCGGAAAATGAGCAACAGGAAAAGGGTTACCCTTAAAATTGATAACAAGGTATTCACTAAAAAACTTAAAATGCACAAAGCTCATCCTCAATAAACAGAAACTGTTTTAGTATCTAGTGTGACGCCCATGAGCATCAATTACAGCTTCACAACGTCTGTGCATGGCCCAAATGAGATCGCGTATCCGGTTTTGTGGGAAAGCGTTCCACTCGGCTACCAGAACTGTTCCCAGCTCCTGGAGCGTTCTTGGCTGAACATTTCTGGCAGAGAGAGCTGTCTGCAGCATGTCCCACACATGCTCGGTGGGATTTAGATCCGGCGAGAGCAGGCTGGCCAATCCATTCTTTGAATAGTCTCTTGCTCTATTTGGCCTAGCATTATCGTCCATAAGGATGAAGTCAGGGGCCATAGTTCCAGCGTAGGGTCTGAAATAGGCATCAAGGATTTCATCGCAGTAAATCCGGGCCGTAACGATACCATTATGGAACACATGGAGGTCAGTTTTACCATGAAGGCTTATGCCTCCCCACACCATCTTTGAACCACCGCCATATCGGCCACATTCCACAACGTTACCTGCCTAGAACCTCTCCCCAGGTTGTCTCCATACTCTAACGCACCTGCCGGTGAAGTCGAGACAGAATCTGGACTTGTCAGTAAAAAGAACCGATTCCCATTCCTGAAGAGTCAAGTGCTGTGAGCAAGGGCCCAATCTAATCGGTCCCTAATATGGGGGGCAGTTAAGGGAACTCGTATTGCTGGCCTACGTAACCTTAATCCAGCATCATGAAGACGATTCCTAACTGTCTGAGTGGCTACCCGGGTACCAGAAGCATTTAGGAGGTCAATTCGTAAAAATGTGGCAGTCTGGAACCTGTGACGCCATGCCTGTATGAGCAAGCCATGCCTGTATGAGCAAAAATCGGTCTTGTCAATGCATTGTAGCCCTCAAACAACCTCCAGCAAGATGTCTGGAAGGGTTTCTGTTAGTTTGGAAACGATTCCACATTCATGCCACGTTATGTAACCCAACGTTGAGACATGCTAGCTTGCAGCATTCCGATGCCCCTATTTATTTCACCATCATTTAACTGTTGTCCGGTTCGTCTTTGTGCCATATTAAAAACAAAAACATGCGAAGAATATTCATCAAATTGATTTCCTTAACAATTTGAATAACGCCTTACTTAGCCTAGCTTAGCTTTTGAAAAGCGTGTACACGTGGAAAAGCGTGCACACGCTTTATGCTTGACTGAACACACCCACACAAGACTATTTGGAAGGCTAACATATTCGCCCAAAACAGTACGGAAGGAAAATATAATATCCTTTCTAACATTTTGATCTTTTTTTTTCAAAATAAAGATGATCCATAACAAAATGTGAGTAGCATATTTACATTAGAAGGACTACTATCATACTGAGTGGCTTTGAAATAACAACTTCTAACATTTATAGAGACATTTCGTTTTTGCATGATATTTTTCACGTTATGCAGGTTTAAGAAATACAAGGTACGTTGCAGTCAGTGTTGGCACATACCCAAAAAGGACATCAAGACGTTCCCCAACTGTCCCAACTGTGGGGCACTTCTACGTGTGTCTGTCTGTAGGCGCAGCTGGTGACAGTGTAACCATGGTTACAAACAGACAGAGAAAACACGGGTAGAACATTAATGCAGGCATGTTATTTTTACATTACAAAGTATTTTATTAAACCCTTGTTGGAAAGATATATTTGTATCCTCATAAATAGATCAGCAATTACTTCTAAAGGTGGGAACTCAATTGTTACTTAAAAAGGACGTGTTAGCATATCCAGAGTGTTTATCACATTAATAATCCATAGGTTATTGATCAAACAGCACATTGGAAGATTAAATTTGTGAAAGATGTGTTGTGCGAACCCGATATCTTACCTAGCTGTAATTATAGGTTATATCTTACCTAGCTGTAGTTATAGGTTATATCTTACCTAGCTGTAATTATAGGTTATATCAAGCTGTAATTATAGGTTATATCTAACTGTAATTATAGGTTATATCTAGCTGAAATTATAGGTTATATCTTACCTAGCGGTAGTTATAGGTTATATCTTACCTAGCTGTGATTATAGGTTATATCTTACCTAGATGTAGTTATAGGTTATATCTTACCTAGCTGTAATTATAGGTTATATCTTACCTAAAGTATAAACCAGTACATTTGTCACAGTTTTTGTACCATGCAAGATATATCTTGGTGTAGCTAACAAAGATGTAAAACACAGAGATATTTAATATAGACGACCTTGTTGGCTACAGTGAAACCTGTAAACTCTGACACCTTGTAGAACATGCTAATCAGATAAGACTGGATCTTATTTGGTAGTTAATTTGGGATTAAGTTGGATAAGTTGGGATGTCTGAATATTAAGGTGTTGACAAGAAGATCGATGTCTGAGTACTTAGAAGTTGGATTAGACATTATATTGAGGTCAGATTGGACAGTTTTTACTGTGTGATTATCTCACATTATCTCGTATGAAGAAGAATTCATACCTCAAATGTCCTTTGATTTCTAACATACATTCAAAATGTAGTGCCTTATAAGTTAGCCATACTTAGTTTATGCAAGGAGAATGAACACTAACCTATTTCGTTAAAATTAAACATTGTTTTGAAGATATTTATTCCTTATTTCACAGAGGTAAATACCTTTTCATATGGCATGATTATAAGATTGTAAGATTTGAGGTGTATTTATATATATATATATATTGTATTATATAATGGGGCCCCTATATATATCAATAGGTGATACTTGTGATGTGAAAGTTTATTTATGTTAGGTTAATTGTTTAATCAACTAGCTCACTTGGCAGGAAGTACCTTCGAGGTTATGCTGTGATGCACTGTCTTGTTGTCTCACACCTTTTTCTGTATATGGCTTTTTATTGAGAACTTAAAGGCCAAATGTAAAGATATTTTATCAATGGCTACCCAAGATAACTGTTTTAAAGTTTCCGTGAATAAATGACTTTAACCTACTTTAACAGTTCCAATGGCATTATCTGAAACTTGTGAGATCTAGAGCCTGTAGCTTGCAGGGATAAAGAACTATAAATAAAATAAAATAATTGACCGTGACCTATTTCAAGGTCATGACATACTGGTGTGAAGTTCTATCAAATTGTTGGAATATTCCCTTGAATTGTTTTCTCGTCGACGGGGGTAAAATGTGTTAAAAGACTGCATACCAGTAATTGTGGCCTGAAGTTGGCTAGGATAACAGGCCATCAAATCGGTTTAAAAAAACCTTGACTAACCTTAAAGGTCAAAAATGTGAAATGTGTTTGCCACCCATTCCATAGCAGGTGAGCTATACAGGCCCAATATGCTTTTTGTTTACAATTGTACAGAAACTATTTATAAATCATGTTAAGTTTATTATTCCTGATTGGATAGGTACATAATTTTGAGATCACAATAGATGATTGATGTAAAAAATATATCATTATTTATTATTTTGAAGAAGTCTGATATTATTTTACAACAATTTCTAGATATCATGATCTCTGGATTTACGAAATACATCGACATGAAATAGAATTATTGTAAAGATGTTCGTAAATTGTTTTACTAATACATGTATGTATTTTGACAGAATGACGAGTGTATGAATAAATATGTATTTGTTGTATATGGATATTTCTATATCATTGATACATATTGGCACAAGCTATTTAATTAAACTACATGCATTACATTACATTGTTTGATTAATATACAATATACATAAACATGTACAGTATTTATGAGAGTATTAGGTGCTTTTGGCAGAATATATTACGTTGATGTATAGATCGATAGACAGTTATTTGAAATATTAATATAATTTACCACTTAAGTTTGGTACACGTATCTTTAACATGCATTTCTCATTGTATAGCATACAGGTACATGTAGTATAACATTATGAGGCGATGGTTCCTTTGGGTTGAAAAGGATGGATCTACATGTACTTTCAAATCCAAGGGTTCTCGTGGTTAACCTTGCCTGGACCTTTATAAACAATATATCCATCCACGACAAAACTTTCATTTTTTCCCTCTATCAAATGAGCAGCATCAAAGGTGGTACACTTGTAGTGGCTTGGCTAAATGCAGCTACATTATAAAGTCAACATAATTTTTGATTTGTCAAGAGCATTTCTTTTCTATTATTTATGGTAGAGGATAAAAGTGCTAATAAAATGTAAGGTTACTGCTGAAGTAATTATGTTTTTGACTAGGTATGCTTTTCTCTCTCTCTCTCTCTCGAGAATTTCAAATAAGACCATGTTGATTGTATTTCTTGACATGTCATGTGCACGTTGGAGATTATACATATACTTTGCAAGTGTTTAGTTTGTTTTGAAAGTTATACGTTTTATGTTTTGAATTAATTGTCTGTTTTATCTTTATTTTTGAAATGTGTGTCAACTTATTTCCTTCAGGTAAAGGAAAAGTTGTTTTTGAACGAATCTTGATTTTTGAATTTGTGCTTGAAATATCTTTAATGTTTAACATGTTTTATTAGCTAATACGTATGTTATTATGTGTAAATGTTTGTTTTATATTGATATCAGTTTTACATATGGTGTTTTTAGCACATATGAGCTATTGCTATCCCCATTCATTTGTCCACTGGCCTCGGTTAACGTTTTTACATTTTAAAATTAAAATTAAACTGTAATACACCTATTTTGCCAAAACAAATGATAAATGCTAGCCCTTGTTTCCTCTGGCCTCGACACCAGACTTGGACATTTTCACAGATAGATGCCCCATACCAGACATCTATTTGTCAAAAAGTCTGGTGTCTGGGCCAGAGTAATCTCGAGCTAGATATATGCATAGTCTGGATCAAATCTTGGAAGCAATATATTGAAAGCAACGTCTCGACAGCCATTTTTGATAATCTATTTGAAATTTAAACTTGTATGCTACTTCTTCAACTGATATTTCAGAAACTAAGTGGGAATAATCAGCACATAGTCCTGACCAATTCTTGTTATTCTGGAGTGGATTTGAAATCCAAAACATGCATACCCATCTTGGCAGCCATGTTGAAAATTCTATTTGAATTCCCATACAAATTCTACTGAAGTGTTATAGTAGTAGTGCGTCAAATGGAGGTGGCCAAAATGTCCTGTTTCACTTGTGTAGTAAACATCTTTTCGTTATGTCTGTTCCTATTCTCAATTAACGAGAAAAGGAAAACCTGAATGCTTTGGTTCCAAAGGAAGACATTAAAAAAACTTGATTACTTTTTGTACTTTACAACAAAATGAAATGTACAAGATGAGGTATGTTTGTGGGTAACCAAGGGGATAACATGACTACAGAACATGTTAATTAACCCTGGTGGGCTCGTCACTGGTAAAGTACAATATCTCGTGTTCAGGTACCACTCTTTTCTGTTACAAGTTGTCTCGAGAACAGCAAAGAATTCTGCATCATGTGTCTAACACACAACCATGTGAACTGATTTTATCATGATTTCATAATAAAAGTTGAACATTTGTTGTCAAGTTTTTAATATCACTTTACATTATGACTCGTGATTTTACAATGAGTACCAAGGGTACAGGTTACACAGATCAAAATGCAAGCTATTCCAAACAAAATGAAATCTGTCCAATCTGACCCCTGTGGGACAACGTATTGGTCCTATTAACCAGTCTAATCTGACACTGTATGCGACAAAACATATTGGTCAGAATAATCCGTCTATAAATCTTACATGTGGTTTTCTTCATATGTAGGACAGGTCAAAATACTCTCTGCAAGTTTTTCTAATAGTTTTCATAATGGGATCACATGATTTATTTGGATGACAAGATATAAGTGATCAGATCAGACAGGTTTTATCAATATACAAAACAAAAAGTTTAAATGCATGTATCCGCATTATGAATACCCAAGTAATATATCTTTCATCCGTTTATGATGCACCCAGACTACGTAGTGGATCCCACCTTTAAAAAAATATGGGCACGTCCATATTTATCGTGAATGATGGGCTGTAAAACTCTTCAATTTTGCCAATAAGAATTGTATGTAATTGATTTCATTTTGCAAAATGAACAATGTACTAAATATATCTATTGTTTAAATATGTGTAAGTAAATACAGTACACCTGGATGATTTTTGGAATTAACCTTTCGACTAAACATCCCTCCCAACCTGCCCTCTTACGCACACACTTTCAGTTCAACACAATGTGGAGATCTGGATGAGTTTGGAAACCCTTTAGCTTAATACCCCCTACCCACTCTCTTACACATGCATACTTTCATTTCATCAAGCACTTTTGATGCATAAAGCAATTCATTTCATCTGCAATGAATGCAAATTATTCAGCAAAATTGCTGCAGCAAAAACAAAAGAAAAAAGTTAATTTAACTTTATGTAGTAAAAATAGCATAAATACTAGCAGATCTCATGTTCATGTGAAATTCAATCCAGAAAATGTTCTCCACACATGATAGACATTGTATTTAGGTATAATTGTGATTAGGTGTTACTGTCTCCCACTACACGGGGTCGGTACTACCTGGTGATCATGATTTCCCAGACAAAAGCAACTAATTGGACTTTAAATTTTTTAAATGTTAACGTAACAGATTTATTCCAACTATAAAAAAGGGAGGATAATTCTGTGAAAACATCAAGAAGTTAAAGACATAATGACTAGTGTCAAATTAGGTCTTCAGTCAACATACAAATATTTACAGGAAACTCAAACTGAACATATAACTCAAGTCACTAACCACATAAGTCAAAATCTTCTAGATTGTTCATCCGACTATCACACATTACCTCCCACACAACACAGTAGTTCTGGGGCCTCTTTGTTTACAGCCAGATCAGCTTAATCAGTTGTTAATACAAATTTCAAATTCTTCAATTTTTGACAGGAATTTCAGAATTTATGCATATTTTTGTTTTGTATTCAGATGATCAATATGAAATTCTACATGCTATTTTAAGGATACCTGTATCACTGCCAAAAAACTTACTTACGGTATGTATACATACTGGAAACAGATTTTGTTGACATTACTGTAGCTTTGATAAAACAAGAGGCCCATGGGCCTTAACGGTCACCTGATATATTTATACAGAGAGTTGATTTTGTTTTTAACATGAACAGAAATATTATTCAAAGTGACAAAAAACAATAAAACCA